CCCAGCTCTACTTTTTTTTTTTTTTTTTTTTTTGAAAATTTTGGCCACACATTGGAATGCCATTTTTTAAAAATATTTATTTATTTATTATGTATACAGTATTCTGTCTGTGTGTATGCCTGAAGGCCAGAAGAGAGCACCAGACCTCTTTACAGATGGTTGTGAACCACCATGTAGTTGCTGGGAATTGAACTCAGGACCTTTAGAAGAGCTCTTAACTACTAAGCCATCTCTCCAGCCCTACTTTTTGTTTTTGAGATAGCATTTCTGGTCATTCTAGTCCTAGAGAGCTGGGATTCCAGACAGGCACCGCCTGGGAGTGGCAGGGAGTAACTCAGGGCTTTTCACGCTGGGCAACCTTATGTCAACTGAGCTACACTCCAGCTCTTCCCTTAATACAGTGAGTTACCTTTCTGTTAAATTCCTGCTCACTAATTCCTGAGTCTGTTATCTCTGGATTTGTTTGCATTGATTTAAAAATCTGGTAACAGGTCTGATTTTCCTGTTTCTCTGCTTAACTACTGTTTTATTATCTGCTAAAAAGCCAACATTAGTAGCATTTTGAGTTTCCTGCCTTCAGAAGGGTTGACTTTGGTTTTGGCAGTTTGTGTACTGGATAGCATGTTTTCTTGTCAAGGAGTAGTATAGGAATTGATCAAGATGGGTAACAGAGTTACTCCAGTTCCACAAGACATAGCCCCTAAACAACAACACAGGCTGTGTCTAGCTCTTAGATGCCTGCTAGGCCTTCGGGACTGAGAAGCTTGAGTTAGAATCTGCAGTTTGGTGCTTGGCCAAAGATCAGAATTCCTGGGTCTTGTGTCTACAGCTGTTCCTCTGGATACCCTTTTGCAAATTTCTGCTACTCTGTAACTCTGAACTCTGGGCTTTGTTTTCTCCATCCAGCAAGAGATAGACTGCCACTCTCGTCTTTGCTACAGTTGGAAGGTCCTCCTGCAGCCAGAAGGATGTGGAGTTTTTCCTGGGGTTGTATCTCCTTATTCCAGGATCATGACCTTAGGTTCATTGTTGTCCACTGCCTGAGGACAGATACTTTATCTGTGTTGTCCAGGTTTGTTGTTTTTATCAAGTGGATGTGGGGCATAGAGGAAAACCTCTTATTTCATAACCCTAACTGTCTAGCCTCTTTTCAGAAGTTTTAGGATCTGAGAGTTGACTCAGCTATTAAGAACAATGGCTGCTCTTGCAGAGGACCTGGGTTTGGTTTCCAGTATCCAATAGCTGCTCAGAATGGTTTATAATTCCAGGTCCAGGGAATCTGACACCCTCTTCTGGCCTCTAAGAGCAATACATGCATGTGGTTTACAACAATAATTGTAGACAAAACACTCAAAAGAAAAATAAATAAATCTTTTTTTTTTAAAAAAAGTACTTCCTTTAACTGAATTGTCAAATTGGTGATGTTTTAGAACCATGTAATTAACATAATTTAGGATAATCTGGTTCAAGATTATTGTCTTCTTAACCTTTTATTTAACGCCTATGTCAATGCAAACCAAGCTCGAGTCAGTCCCTCGACTTCCTATACTCCCAGTCGGCACAAGAGGAGTTATGAAGATGATGAAGATATGGACCTACAGCCCAGCAAGCAGAAAGACCAACATGCAGGTGCCAGACAAGCAGGTACTGTGTGCCCTCACCTTCCTCTGACATCAAGGCTCGTTGTCAGGCTTGTTCTCTGACAGTTCTCGACTGGGAACTGGTGTGGTCTTTCACTCATTTCACTTCATCACAACGGGGGTGTTGCTGGAGTGAAGCTCGGGAGTAGAACTTTGGCCTTGAAGGTATGAGGCCCTGTTTCCATCCCTAGGCACTTTTGAGCATTTTTACAATGAGGACCCTTTGGAAAGCTCTGATGGATGCTTTTACTTTGAAGTGGTTGAATGGAAGATCTTTTTAGTGTCGTCGTAATTGTTATCCCGATTCTTGAACAATAGAAAGCATGGTTGTGCTCTACCCTACAAGTGACTTAGCTGAAACCATCCTTTCTTGCTTTCCGTTTGGAACCACGGTATTTCTGTTGATTTTTGTTGTTGATATTGTTTGTTTTGTTTTTTCAGGATAGGATTTCTCTTTTTTTTTTTTTTTTTTTTTTTTTTTTTTTTTTTTTTTTTTTTTTGGGTTTTTTTTTTTTTTTTTTTTTTTTTTTTTTTTTTTGCTTTTTCGAGACAGGGTTTCTCTGTAGCTTTGGAGCCTGTCCTGGAACTAGCTCTTGTAGACCAGGCTGGCCTCGAACTCCCAGAGATCCTCCTGCCTCTGCCTCCCGAGTACTGGGATTAAAGGTGTGTGCCACCACTGTCCGAAAGCGTTTTTTTTGTTTTTGTTTTTCCAGGATAGGATTTCTCTATGTAACAGCCCTGGCTATAAATTTGTGGAACTAACTCTATAGACCAGGCTTATCTTGAACTCTCAAACTAACAGAAATCTGCCTAATTCTTTTATTGGGGGTAGATGGGTGGGAAGGTTTTGTGTTGTTTTTCTAGGCAGGGTTTCTCCGTGTAGCTCTGGCTGTCCTGGAACTCACTCTGTAGTCCAGGCTGGCTTCAGAGATAAAAGAATTAGCTATACTTAAGAAAAATTGAACTACAAATTCATCCTGCAATTTCACATTTTTTCCCTTGATATTTCTGGCCTAAAAAAAAAAAAGATCAACAAAAACCAGGTGGCAGAAGGCATATGCTAGAGGCAGGAAGATTTCTGTGAAATGAAAATATTGAAATTAATTTAAAAAATTTGAAGTTTATTTTGTTGGTGAACTTTTGTCTGCATGCTTGTCTTTGTACCATGTGAATGCTCTCAGAGGTTCGACGAGGCCATGGGGTCCTGGAACTGGAGGCAGGGAATGACTGTGAGCTGCCCTGTGGGTGAAGGGACCTGAGTCGGGTTCTCTGCAAGATAAGCCAGTGTTCTAGCCCTTTAACTGTTTCTAGACCTTGAGATTACCTTTTTTTGTTTTGTTTTGTTTTGTTTTTTTTTTGTTTTTTTTTGAGACAGAGTTTCTCTGTAGCTTTTGGTTCCTGTCCTGGAACTAGCTCTTGTAGACCGGGCTGGCCTCGAACTCACAGAGGTCCACCAGCCTCTGCCTGCTGAGTGCTGGGATTGAAGGTGTGCGCCACCACTGCCCGGCTAGAGATTAATTTTTTATTTTTAAAAAAATGTATATTTTATTTTTTCTTTGCTTATTTTTAAGTTTTTGTTTTGTTTTGTTTTTGAGGCAGGGTCTTACTGTGCAGCACTGGCTTGGAGCTCACTGTGTAGAGGAGGCTGGCCTCAGACTCAGAGATCCTTACACCTTTGCCTCCAGTGTGCCAGGATTAAAGGCTGTGTTACCATGCCTGGTTGGTTAAGATTGTATTTTAAATACATTTCTCCCTTTTCCTCCCTCCAAGCCTACTTATATACCCGTCCCCATTCTCCTTCAAATTCATGGCCTTCTTTTCCTCAGCTGGTATTTTGTGCGTGTATGTGTTTATATATACATATGCCTTCCTAAGTACAACCTGTTGGATATGCACAATGTTAATCGTATGTATGTTTTCAGGGATGACTGTTTGGCACTAGATAACCAATTTGTGTGCTCTTCCCTGGGGAGGGCCACCTTCTGTTCCCAGTTTTACTCAGTTGCACGTAGTTCTTTGCATAGGATTGAAGTCTTATGGCCTTTATCCCATGCAATTTAGCATGTTCGTTGGTGTCCTTGTTCAGCTCACATTTATGTAGTCATATTGGCGAGAGTTTACAGGCGTAGTTTCTGATGTTATTAGGAGACACAGTATCACTGCAAAGTCCCCGATCCTCTGGCTCTTAAAACTTTTCTGCCACCTCTTCTAGAGTGTTCCCTGAGCCTTGGGTGCAGAGTTGTTTTGTTAGATGCATCCATTGGCATTGGCCTCCACAACTGTGTTTTGATTGGTTGTGGTTTTCTGTAGTGGTCTTCATGTGTTACAAAGAGAAGTTTCCTTGATGAAGAGTGAGACTACATGTGTCTGTGGGTGTAAGGATATCTTTTTATAGGTTGTTATTACGGATTAATGCTGGTTTAGTAAATTAGTGGTTGTAGCTTCTCCTTCAGGAGCTGTAACTTGACTAGCACCGAGTAGTTAACTAGGATTCCAGTACCAGGCATGGTCTTCTTGTTTCCAGACAGGGTCTTAGGTCCAATTAGAGCTGTTGGTCACCACCAAGGTGTGTATGCCACTCCTGCCCCCCTAGGGTTGTCAGGTTGTCCTGGTCGTGCATGTGGTTCATAAGTGTCAAGCTGGGTGGATTGAAATGAACTGGTAAAAGTACTGACCTGAGTTAGGCGTCATAGCTTGATCTGAAATCCTAACACTAAGGCGACTAAGAGAGGAGGATGGCCTAGAGTTCAGTGCCAGCCTGTACTACACAGTGAGACCCTGTCTCAAAAAAAGGAAAAGAAACAAAATCCTTCCAATATGTTTGATGGAGTAGTTTGTTGCTATTTCAGAGTAAGAAAGCAATGAAATATTTTATGTGTCTATCTTTGTTCTGGTATAAGTCTAATAATGTTATTAAAACTTGACATGAGCCTTTTTCAGCTCATAAACATGATTTATGTCAAAATGAAAAGCACTGTTAGAATGTTCATTTCTTTGGGCTTAGAAGTGACCGCATGTAGCCGGGCGATGGTGGCGCACGCCTTTAATCCCAGCACTCGGGAGGCAGAGGCAGGCGGATCTCTGTGAGTTCGAGGCCAGCCTGGTCTACAGAGCTAGTTCCAGGACAGGCTCCAATGCCACATAGAAACCTTGTCTCGAAAAACCAAAAAAAAAAAAAAAAGTGACCGCATGCAATGTTGTTTGAGTCTAGGGGGCCTCGGTGGTCTTCACTGGTGCGGAGAGCCAAAACGCTTAGAAACTGAAGCTTCCAGTGGGCAGCAGCTGAACTCCTTGAACCTCTCTTCCCCATTCGATCTGAACTTCCCCCTGCCAGGAGAGAAGGGCCCTGCCTGCCTTGTTAAGGTACAGCCTTTCCTAGTTCTTTCCACAGATGCTTCTACCTCAGAAATGAGGCATTAGAAAAGCCTCCGCATGTCTACAGGCTGTGCTGTCCTCTGGAGGCTCTAGAGGGATGGAGAGGGGACAGGATCTGGTTTGTTGTGTCTTTTCCTTCGTCCAGCTTCAAGAGGCTGCCTGCATTCCATGACTTGTGGCTTCTCCATCTTTAAGATAGTAACACTGTGTTTATCTGACCATTCTTTTGTAGTCACATTTCCATCAGATAAAGTTAACTCTTTGACACTGAGCCCGCTTAGCCGATCCAGGCTATCACCACCTCAGGGTCCTTGAGTACAACTGCAGGTTCCTTTCCTTGTGAGCTCACAGACTCAGCATTTCAGCGATTGTGCTGTGACCATCTTTGGGGCTCCTTATTTTGGCTGACACAACAGTCAAAGAACTGGCCAGTGTGGAACCTGGTGTGGTGGCATATACATGTAATCCCAGTGCTCAGGGAATAGAGGAAGAAAGGTGGAGAATTCACACCCGTTCTGAACTACATAGTCAGACTTTGTGTCTTAGTCAGGGTTACTGTGGCCACGATGAAACACAAGACCAAAAGCAAGTTAGGGAGGAATGGGTCTATTTAGTTCATCATCAAAGGAAGTCGGGACAGGAGCTTAAACAGGGCAGAAACCTGGAGGCAGGAGCTGATGCGGAGGCCGTGGAGAGAAGTACAGTTTACTGGCTTGCTCCATGAGGAATAGGCTTGCTCAGGCTGCATTCTTATAGAATCCAGAACCACCAGCCCAGGGACATCCCCACCCACAATAGGCTGGATCCTCCCATATCTAACACTAATTAAGAAAGTGCCTTGCAGGCTTGCCCATAGCCCAGTCTTGTGAGGCATTTTCTCAACTGAAGCTCCTTCCTCACGAGCTCTGTCAACTTGACATGATGCTAGGCAACACACCCTGTTTCACAAAACCAAAGGGGTAAAGTCATATTCAAAAGTAGACCGCCTTTTAAATTCATAGCTACTTCCTTCCTATGTCATTTCTGACTGCATATTTTATTTCTGCTAGTTTACCTTTTCAAAATCCACTTCTCAATTGTATTTAAAATAAAGGGTGTTGTATCACATGCCCAGTCCTGCCATTCTAGAAGCTGAGATGAGGAAGATCAAGAACTCAAGGCTAGCATGAGCTACAATAACATGACCCTGATGCAAAGTAAAACTAAGTTGTTTGTAGTGCTTTAAAACATCAATCCCCACACTTGAGAGGCAGAGGCCTGAGGATTGCTTTGAGTCCAAGGTCAGTATTAGACCAGCCAGGTAGGCTCTGTGGACATACCTGGCTCTGGTTTAGCTTTTGCCTGACTGCCAGCCTCTGTGGGAGTGTGGTTGTTCACATGTTTGCTGACTTCGCTGTCTGACTGGCAAGTACCTGGTTGTGTCATTCAGTGTTAACCTATGTTGTTGTCAGGTCTATGAAGACTGGGACTGCTTCAAAGTCAATGACGTTCTTGAGTTATATGGTGTGCTGTCTGTAGATCCTGTCCTGAGCATACTGAATAATGAAGAAAGGTGAGTGTTTGTTGGGTTTTCTTTGTTACTTTTTCGTTGGATATAATTTCAAACAGTGGCAGAGAGTTACAAAGAACGTCCTTTTCTGTCTTCAGATAGTTACCAGTTACACCACCCATGCCATGCTTGTCATTGCTGCCCTCTGTGTACTACCCTCATCCCATCCTGGCAACCCCTGGCTGTGGAAGTCAGCCAGGCACAGCAGTCTTCCCAGGGTTGTGCCACTGATGCACGAGAGTGTCATTAGTGTCCATCACTCAGCTAGGGTGGTATTGCCTGACCCGTGAGCGCTTTTCACTTTGCTGTTAATAATTTGAAAGATACTTTTGTGCATCTCAGCATCTGTTGACTTGTGTCTCTCAGAGGCACTTCATTAACTTTGTCTCTGCTACAGTAGCCATTTTCTACTGTGTCCCTCCTACAGTTGTTTTTCAAGTAATTTCTTTATGTCAGTATGAACCAATGAACTCTCATTTTATTCAATATCAGCATGTATTTTGAGATTCAGATTTTCCTAGATTCAGCTAGTAGGAGCCAGAGTGAGCAAACTGTATGCAACATACTTTCTTTTGGCCACCGATGAGCTCTCTAGTCACAACACAGAGACTCATTATTACTTAGGAGTGCTTGGCCTTGTCTGATGCCTGTCCCTTAGCTCTTATAACTTGTTTTAACCTGTTTCTCTTCATCTGTGTTTACTTCTGGGCTTTTTACCTTTCCTTCATTCTGTATGTCCTACTCCATGTGTGCCTGGCCCTGGGTATCTCCTACTCTTTCTCCCTCATTCTCCTCATTTTCTTTTCCCTTGAACCTAGATTTCTCCTTCTACTTATTCCCTGCTTTTCAGCCCTACCTATCTGTCCTCTGCCTAATTATTCAGCTTTTTGTTAGACCAGTGAGGTGCCTTAGGCAGTCAAAGCAACACTTCTTTATATAATTTAACAAATGCAGCATAAACAAATGTAACACATCTTTGCCTAGTTAATGTTTCACATTTCCCCCTCTTTGTCTAAATAAAAAGGAAGGGTTTTAGCTTTAACATAGTAAAACTATATACAGTAAGAACAATTATCAGGTAAGGATTACATCTACAGTATCCATCCATTTGTATTTGGCAAATTCAGAGAAAATATTATTTATCCTATCTTGGTGAGTCCAAAGGTTTGTACCTAATTTGCCTTCTATCATGACTGAAGAAACCTGCAACTATAACTATCTAGTCTTCAACTGCATCAAAGACCCCAGAAGGATATAGTATTTCCTGAGTAAACAGGAAGTACAGCACAAGCCACTTCCAAAGCTATAGAAACGGCAGAGACACCTGGCTATGTAGACGGTCACCCAAGATTCCTTTGCCACATCAGGGCGTCCACCTTTGTTTACAGCCCTAGAATATCTAGTAGCCTTTTCTATGAAGCAAGAATTTTGAAGGAAGGTCCTGCCATGTTTTGGCAAAGTTTGTCAGTCTTTTTCCTTTGTGTCATCCCTGTCCAGTCTGTGCACTGGGTTCTTCTGTTCTATATGGAGGTATTATATCATGCTGGGAAGAAAAACCCAGTTCCATAATCTCCTGTCAGGCACTCTCCAGTTCTCTAGAGACCTCTACTTTTCCCTGCTTCTTCAAGGTTGTGCCATCTCACGGGACTTCATGTGATCCCATTTGTCAGTTGTTACTCTCAATGCCTGTCCTCTGGGCTCCTGTTAAGAAAGTTGATGTGGGAAGTCCTCCTGAATATGTGTTGCTTTTATTGGTTGATGAATAAAGCCATTTTGGCCAATGGCTCAGGTGTATTCCTAATCTGTCTATTGCCACAAGACTGTGGCTTACTGGTGCAGCATGTTACTCCTTCGGTGGCTACATGGCGTCTCCTCGACTCTGCCCTCTCTCTCTTCTTTTCATCTGTCTGTCTGTCTGTCTATCTATCTATCTATCTATCTATCTATCTATCTATCTATCTATCTCTATATCTCTGTTCAGACTTCCTGCCAGGCTTTACTCTGCTAAGCCATTGGCCGAAACAGCTTTATTCATTAACTAATAGAAGCAATGTATACACAGAAGGACATCCCACATTAGAAAGTCTTCCTGAGCCTGTAAATTCAAGTATACTCTGCTTGATTCATTTGGAGTTGAGTTTTATGGAAGGTAATAGATAAGGATCCTCACATATTAATATTTTAAATGTATTTCTATATTTTCTGTGTAAAGCTATGAATTTGCTGTACATGATGATACACATGCATAATCCCAGCACAGAAGGCTAAGACAGAAAAAATTGAGTTCTAGACCAACTTGGACCATGTAGTGTAGCAAGACAATCTCAAGAAAGAAAAGGCCCTGAGTTCACACTTAGCCAGCACACGCTCTGCCACTCCAGTCTCTTTCTTCCTCCTTGGTTGTATATTCATTGTCTTAGTGTGCTTTGCTCGGTTCTACAGTGTGCACAGAATTGGGGAGCAGTGCCACTGTGGCACGGTCATTGTCTGTTCCAGTGTCTATGTTCTCATTTGTTGTCTTTTAAGACAGCACGCCACTTTGTGGACCAGGATTTCCTCCGACTGCGTCAGTCCTGCCTTTGCGTGCTGAATGCTAGGGTTGCAGGTCTACATCAGCACACCTGCGGCTGTGCTCCTTTGTTTCAGAGGGAGTCTTCATATGCAGCTGCCTAGGTGTCTCTCTTGTCCATCTCGATTCTGATGTTCATTTCATGTAGGTTCATTTGTGTGGTTACGTTTTATTTCCCAGCTGTTCTCCACCCCTACAGAAGTAGAGGACTGTGCTACCCCAGGAATGTCTTTGTGTGTTCCCACACCCTGGAAACCTGAGTCCTAGTCTCTGACTCCCTCCTCTCTCTCTCTCTCTCTCTCTCTCTCTCTCTCTCTA